GTATGGGCTTAAATCATTGGTGTAGGAGCTATTGGGCGTAATCCGTTTGGAGTATCAGCTTGTGGGCTGAGGCATTGCTTGTTTCAAGCTGGTGTGGTGAGATGAGGCAAGTAAGAACAGCTGCATATGTGTTAGGCTGACTATTTCTATTGCATGCAGAGGGTTGCCATTGGCTCTTGGGCTGATTTAAGAGTCAAATTTTTGGGCTACGGCAGCGCTCCCTCTGCGCCAATTCTGGTACTCTAAACTTTAACCAGTGGGCCATATCACTGCTGTAAAAAAACACTTTCATAATATATTTAACCTGGAAACTTGAACCATATCGTTTGAAACAGATCTATCTGTTGTCTACTTAGACATGGCAAACTATCTTATCTCCTATCGTTTCTAGTGAAACCTGACGATCGTTTCAGGTAACAGAGATTAAACGCTCATATCTCAGAAAATATTTAACCAGAGAGTGCGGAGTGATGAAATAAGGTGAATCAATCACTTATTCAATGCAAATCACCACTCCACACTCGACCGAAGTGCCTAAAGCAAAACGACCGCGTGCGGTTTAAAAAGTTCAATGCTTATAACTCAGAAAATATTCAACCCAAAGAGTGCGGAGAGGTGAAATCAGCCGCAGCATTACATTGATCGTTCGTTCGCCGCTTCAGCGTCTATTGAATCTTCAGCTTTTAAACTTTTAAAGTATTACTCGAATGATGGTGACAATTTTTACCAGATAGGCTATATTAACATTTAAATTCAACTTGGAAATTCTTCCAAACCTAGAAATCTATTTCCTTTAAAGCGGTAAAAAGTCTGTTCTGTTCTAATTTCAACCTATGTGAGGTCAGAATCTGACCTCACATTGACATAGGTCTAACCGCCTAGGTACTTGAAATTAGTTTCCTCTGACCGTCAGATCAGCCGTTTCTGAAAGTGAAACTGTGAAACTGAAATAAATGAAACAATTAGTATTATTGTAACATTTTAAATTTGATTTGAAAAGTCCCTGAGACCTAAAAATTTAATCTTTTTGGATGGGCGCTAATAGCTATACCTTCGTCGCTTCGTGAGTCTTTGTCAGTGCTGCGCCATATCTTAACCAACTTATAAACCAAGTAGGCTAACCAAGTAACCTTTTTGGAGTGGCAAAAAGTCTGTTATGATGTTATCATATCAGGACTTCAGGAGCATTAGTTCAACCATTTCTGAAATAAAATTTGGATTAGCCTTATAGCTAGTTATAGCCTAGCTAACTTTTTAAATTCAATTTGAAAACTTTCCCATACCTGAAAATTTATTCAATTTGAAGTGGCCTGTGGCCAGAAGTCTGCTATAATTTTACAAATGTCAGTTTGGCTGTATCTGAAATAGAATTACCTAATATTAATAACTTGTCAATTTCAACTTGAAAATTATCCCAAACCTTGAAATATATTTACTTTCAGATGAATGCAATTCAGTTCAACTGTTTAAATTTCACAAGCACCTGTAATCATGACCTGTACGCCACTATGCAGAGGGTGGAGTGGATGCAGTGTCGCCAATCATGGTGTCATTCTATGGTAAATATATAAGAACATGAGCTTTTGGCAAATTGAACCGCGAGGAAAATGTCAGACCGCCGCAACACGTGTCACTCCTCACCTCACGACCATCTGTTTAAAGACTGTCGGAATCCAAATGTAAACAAACAAAGTCAGCTGCCAGGCTGTAGAGTAGGGCCTTTCAGCTCGAGATATCGGCGTCTTTTCAAGCTCTCCATCAGCCACATCAACCTTAAATTGGCGTCCATGGCCGATCATAAACTATGGCTCAAGAAGACTGAGAAATATATTAAATGCAAGAATTTCAATCTAAATGTGTCGGCAAGATCTTCTGAAGGCGAAAATTTGGCTACTGAAGCGTTGCCAAAGATCTTGCAATATTCATCCACTCTCTGCACAGTGGCCTGTATGCCCCGCCCGCCACCGCCCCGGGCGGACGGTGAGGCTGTTCAGGTTCAGTCATTGCTGAAATAGAATTAGTATTTATAACCTCTTGAATTCATATTGAAAATTCTTTTAAATATACCTTACAGCTTGCTATATAGGGACACATACCGCCAACTGTCAAAGTGTCAAGCGTCAATTTGTCAAACAGGTCAACAGGATAATACCTGCATTTGATGCTTTTTTCTGTTTGAGACAAAATGAGTCAAGAAGTTTTGTCCTGATTTGCAATAAAAACCACTACAAATTTGACTCTGTTGGAATTTTGGGACAATACCAGAACAAGATAAGACATTCACATCCTGTTAAAGAATAAAAGGT